TTTCTTTTCCTTGGATATATGATGTGATCATTTGCATTCCATATACTGTTTAGTTTTAAAGGCACACAAATATTTGTATTGTATAACAATTTTAGACTCCAACTACTGATGACTTTTTACAGGAAAAACATCTGAAATCAAGCGCTCATTTTTTTGTTTAGTGTTTGATCTGTGATTTATAGCCAATTACATCCAAAACCATCTTGCCTGGAAAAGTAAAAAGTCTCTTACATGGAATCCTGGTGGTCAGGCTATTTAAAAGTGGAACAAAGAAATGTAATGTTCCATGCAAACTATTCAATTTTTTCAATGCAGGTTTGAGAAGAAAGGCTACATTGCTATGGCCAACATCTTCTCTCATGCTCTGTTTATTATAACAGAACACAGCTGTATGTTGCCCTCCTATCAGGGTAATTAGACTTGCCAAACAAGTTGAAAAAGCACAGGTGAGATCTGGAAAGTTGGTAAACTATACAGGCAATGAGCCTCAAACCAGTTTTCAGAGATCACTTACAGTTTATACTTTTCAGATCTCATCACACAAGCACAGGCAAAGGAATTTAGGCAACATCAAGCAACACAGATTTGCAACTGCCTGAAGGCTGGAAATTAGGACCCGTTGGTGGTTCTTAAGAACAGCATTGAGCAACACTGATATAAGCTAGCCTTTTGTGAGTACTATTATCTATATTTGAGGTAGTTTCAAACCTCCAACAGTAGAAGACAATTTAAAAAGGAAAGTGAAAACTGTAATTCAGCAAAGAAGTGGAACCTATTCAGCTGTATTGCAAATGGCAAGGCTGCTCTAGTAGATGAATGGACATTTCCATCAGAGGTTCATAAATGCTACTTAAACAAGTATTAGGACTAGTCACATATTCTCTTTAAAGAAATGTAATGCCATATTCTTAAATTCCTATTGCTTTTGTATAGCGATAACAATGTATAAACTCCTGACCAGCTTATATTTTCTTAATGCTATGAAAGTGCTGTTAACACTGAGTATATATAATGGTCAACCACCAGCGGCAGAAATGAATTCTCTGACACTCTTCCTGATTGTGGAGTCCTCATGGGAAGTCATTATGGAGAGCACTGTATTAAATTCAACTTACTACAGCGCAAACAAATTCTAAGTTCGTGATCATGTGTAATGAGCCATTCACCTCAATCCATCTCTCGGACATAAGACACTGGGGAATGCATTAGGAATGTGAGCCTTGCTCTCCATTTTGGAGCTGGTGTGTACAAGTAAACATTCTTTTGAAGCTTCCTATTCTGTAACTTTCCATGATTCATGGTCTTCTCCTCCTATGCCATTAGTACTTCCCATAATTCTGCTATCTGAGATGTAAAACCTCAGAGTGCAAGATTTAGTTGTATATATGTGACATTGTTTAGGTTTGAAAATTATCCTCTTGTTGGATAGCTTAAATGGCAGAGGTATGTAAAAGTCTAGGGAACTGTATTTAGAGAAATATGGAGACTTCCTTTGCCAACTTTCTTCTGAAAATAATAGCTCCTTAGCTGCAATCCAGCCTACTGACCTGTAATAGCATGTGGCTAGTGAAGTTAAATGAAATTCAGAACTCCGTATTTGTATAACTATTATAAGTTATGTGGGGTACACACTAGAAGTTTATTTTCGTTTGGTCCAGGGAGCTGAACCAAAAAAAAAACTGATTGATCACAGTACTGACACAAGTGATGTTAGTACAGCTATTGTGTTCTGACAGGGGGACTGTCCCCCCACCAGGACACATTGATCAGTGCTCGCAGCCATTGGCTTTGAGTGCTCATTGGATGCTAATTGGCTGCTGGTTTTCCAGCATGCCCATTTGACAGAAGCCGGACCTTAGACCAGCTTCTGTTGGACAGGCTTCTGTACACACTAGCCCAATGCCAGCCGGTTTCTATTGAACCGGCCAATACCAGCCAATATTCGTCCAGTGTGTACCATCCTTTAGTGACTCAGAAAGTTTGGAAGATTTTGTTTTCATCATAATGTTTCAGCCCATCAACCAGCCAAGTGCAGTATATACTCTGTTACAGATCTATCTGTAAATCCTGTTCCTTGAAGGAGAGTTTCAAAGTGTTAGTTTTCTACACTGCTCAAAAAAAAAAATTAATGGAAACACTTTGAAAACATGAGATCTCAATGGAAAAAAATATCATGCTGCATATCTATACTGATATGGACTGGGTAATGTGTTAGGAACATAAGGATGCCTCATTGTTTGATGGAAATGAAAATTATCAACCTACAGAGGACTGAATTCAAAGACACCCCGAAAATCAAAGTGAAAAAATGATGCAGCAACTCAAAATGGTACTCAGTAGTTTATATGGCCCCCACGTGCTTGTATGCATGCCTGACAATGTCGGGGCATGCTTCTAATGAGAAGACAGATGGTGTCCTGGGGTATTTCCTCCTAGATCTGGACCAGGGCATCACTGAGCTCCTGAACAGTCTAAGGTGCAACCTGGCAGCATCAGGTGGACCAAAACATGATATCCCAGAGGCGTTCTATTGGATTTAGGTCAGGGAAGCATGGGGGCCATTCAATGGTATCGATTCCTTCATCCTCCAGGAACTGCCTGCATACTCTCGCCACATGAGGCCGGGCATTGTCATGCACCAGGAAGAACCCAGGACCAACTGCACCAGCGTAGGGTCTGACAATGAGCTCAAGAATTTCATCCCCATTCCTAATGTCAGTCAGGGTGCCATTGTCTAGCCTGAAGAGGTGTGCGAGTCCCTCCATGGATATGCCTCCCCAGACAATCACTGACCCACCACCAAAACGGTCACGCTGAACAATGTTACAGACAGCATAAATGTTCTCCATGGCTTCTCCAGACACTTTCACATCTGTCACATGTGCTCAGGGTGAACATGCTCTCATCTTTGAAAAACACAGGGTGCCAGTGGTAGACCTGCCAATTCTGGTGTTCAATGGCAAATGCCAATTGAGCTCTATGGTGCCCGGAAGTGAGCACAGGGCCTACTAGTGGACATTGGGCCCTCAGGCCACCCTCATGAAGTCTGTTTATGATTATTTGGTTAGAGACATTCACACCAGTGGCCAGCTGGAGGTCATTTTGTAGGGTTCTGGCAGTGCTCATCCTGTTCCTCCTTGCACAAAGGAGTAGATACTGGTCCTGCTGATGGGTTAAGGGCCTTCCACGGCCCTTTCTAGCTCTCCTAGAGTAACTGCCTGTCTCCTGGAGTCTCCTCCATGCTCTTGAGACTATGCTGGGAGACACAGCAAACCTTCTGGCAACGGCATGTATTGATAAGCCATCATGGAGGAGTTGCCTGTGCAACCTCTGTAGAGTCCAGGTATCACCTCATGCTACCAGTAGTGACACTGACCCTAGCCAAATGCAAAACTACTGAAAAACAGCTAGAAAGGATGAGTAGGGAAAAAAATGTCAGTGGCCTCCACCTGTAAAACTATTCTTGTTTTGGGGGTCGTCTCATTGTTTCTCATCTAGTGCACCTGTTGTTAATTTAATTAACACCAAAGCAGCTGAAACTGATTAACAACCCCCTCTGCTACTTAACTGACCAGTTCAATATCCCAATAGTTTAATTGACTTGATGCTATACTCTGATTAAAAAGTGTTCCTTTAATTTTTTTGAGCAATGTACATACAAATAAGACTGACTTTTGGGAAAGGAGTTCCCATGCAGTCTTACGCGCCATGTTTGGAGATAATGGAAAGTAGCCCTACTACTAGTGTCTCCACCCCAGAAGCAGCATTAGGTGCACTCGTCTTGACAACAGCTTCATATGCATGCAACAAGTGAACATCTATAGCCTTTCTTCTGGATAGAGAGAAATATGAACAGGTTTTAATCTATACCAAAGTACACATGATTCTGAACTCTGTGTACTCTGCAGGTCAGTTAAACTTAACAGGTTATACGTGATGATCCTTAAAGTAGCATCAAAATATGAAATCTATAGTCTTGTATAATAAGGCAGCAAAAACCGCAATGACTATGTACAGTCTGCAGTAACCTAAAACAACCAGATATCATCTGCTTACTCACTTGATTAAAAGAAGCGGACATTTAAATGGTTTCTTTGGGTTACTGTATTTAGTACACTAATAAAAGCTGAACTCCGGACAAAAAAACTTTCATTGAAATATATTCCTCCATAGCCATAAAGGATATCAGTCTACTTTGTGAGCACCAAATGCCTTTGCAAATCCAGTTATGACTTTGTAAAATTATCAGTGACATCATAACATAGCATATAGGCTGCCTGCAGAAAACTACAGGAGGGGCAGATAGGAGACTATTAACTCTGCACAAGGGGAAAGAGCAGCAATGAATTGGTCTTTATTAAAGGAAGCTCCTGCACAGAGGCAAAGTTTCATTCTGGATTACTGTACAGATCTGAAAAAAATACATAATTACACCATAATTCAAATGAAGATACACATGCCTCTTGTATTTAGACATGATTTGCTTATCCCGGAGTTCAGCTTTAAAGGAGCAAGATATTGTCCATTCCCATTATCTAAATTAGCATTCATGTGCCCTGAGGACAATAAATAACAATGATACCATCTTTGTACACATTTAATAAGTCCCCTCCTCTTGCCACATTTTCATGTTTAAATATATATTTACACCAACTCTATCTAGTACACAACGGGGATTCCTGAGGTACAAGTTTTACTGTACTGTTATCTTTTGACTGAGAGTTCTTGATCCATTGGATTCAGTCTATATTGCATTCAAGTGTAGACAGTTTCACTATGCTTGGCCAGTGCTATGATATTTTGCCAAAGGATTTGCAGGACAAACAGATATCCCGAAGACCCTGGTTATTGCAGTTAAAGTACTGAAGTTACAGTTGTACACCCAATGTTCATGCTCCAAGTGGAGTATATTTTGACTTCATCTCCTGCAGTTGGCATGTGATCACCTGACATGATAGTCTCCATGTATAATGTGCCTTTTGTATGTCCACTGATGTCATTCATCGGATGTAACATCTATATCCTTGGGGCTGTTCTGACAGGTTGCCATTCTCCATCTGCTGACATGCTGACTGCTTTTTCTTTTTTGCTGTGCTTCTGGACATTCTTCTTCTAACTTTTGACGTTTGTGTTTCGTTCTTCTGTTCTGAAACCATACCTTTACCTACAAAAGAATGAGATTTTCAGTATTCAGGGTTTAAGAGAGCAATTTTGGCCTAATTGATTTCACTACAAAATTATTGATTTTGTCATTAACACCTTCCGCTCGGCCTATAGCAGATTGACGGCCGGGGGGACACTCGCCGTTGTGACTGGGAGTCATATGACGTCCTGTCAAAGTGAGCCGCTCACGCGGTGCAATCTATCACCTGCTGTGTCCACGGGACACAGCCGATGACCTATCACTACGCCAGTGTCATGTGACCGCTGTGACCAATCACAGCAGATCACATGTCAATTGTATACAATGGATGGCTTCCTGTCATGCCATCCATTGTATACAATTATGTTGTTAGCTGTGACTGGTCAAGTCAGTCACATGATATAGACAGGGCCAATCACAGCCCATCTGTATCACGTGATCAGCTTTGCCCAATCACAGCTAATCACAATAAAAGACTGAATGAATCAGTTTAATTCAGTAACAAGGATTGCAAATATCAATGAAATACATTGGAATTGGCAATCATAATGTGTTAAAAAAAAAAATCCTGATCACTTGCCCAGAGCAGTTCATTGTTACTATGGCAACATTGTATTGCTTTGGTCACAGTGTGCTGAAAAATAAAATAGGAAAAAAAAAAGGAAAAATTTAATAAAAAATAAAAAAAATAATAGAAACATTTGAAAAAAACGACAAATTCAATTATTATTATTATTTTCACCAAAGAAATGTAGCAGAATACATTTTGGCCTAAATGTATGAAGAAATGTTATTTATTTGCAAAATTTTATAACAGAAATGAAGAAAAGTGCGGGTTTTTTTTTTCAAAAGTTTCAGGTAGTCTTAGGTACCAAACTCAGTAGTGATTAAATACCACCAAAAGAAAGTTCTATTTGTGTGGAAAAAAAATGATAACATTTCATATGGGTACAATGCTGCATGACCGCATCAATTGTCATTCAAAGCGTGACAGCGCTGAAAGATGAAAATTGGCCTGGGCAGGAAGGCGGTATAAGTACCTGGTATTGAAGTGGCTTCCAAGTTTGCCATGTTTTCTGCTTAGGTGAAATCTGCTTGGCAGAAGAGACTATTGTGTTGATTTACTAGAGGAGGACAGGTGACAATCAGCACATAATAAAATGTGTGAATGATTTAATTCAATTATGCAATAATGTGAAATCAAATTATTGTCTACCTTGAATATCTTCCAATTATGTGCAGATAAAAAAGGTAAACAATCAAATGTAATATTTTCACATTATTGGCTAATTTAATTATGTGAATATTCAACACAGTTTATATATCTTTTAAGTGAATATTCACACAGTTTAAATAAACCAGACTCCTTGTATGTCTTTTCTGCCCAAAAAACTCCTTCCCCTTTCTCCTATGCTGCCTGTTGTGCACACACAATGCACTGTAGACTTCTGACAACTGTAAGATGCTGAGAATGGAGCTGCATGCTGTGATTATGTAATTCTGAAAGCATGCAAAGGAGTAGTTACATCATTGATGGCCGATCAAGAGCCAAAGAAAAAAAAACAGGACTGTAAGAAGTAGAGAAGGTGGTATGAAGCATTGAGGTAGAACTCAGAGGTGTCAGTGCTGGGGAAGGATAAAGTGGGAGGTAAGGGGGTGATTTACTAAAACTGGAGAACACAGAATCTAGTGCAGCTCTGCATAGTAACCAATAAGCTTCTAGGTTTTATTGTCAATTGTGCTGATTGAATAAGTTGAAGTTAAAAGCTGTTTACTATGCACAGCTGCACCAGATTCTGTGTGCTCCATTTTTAATAAACCTCTGCCATGTCAACCATAATATGCAAGTATCCCACATTCCACATCTGGCAGTTTAGTTTTGCTCTAAGTAAACTTCTATGTTGCTTTGTATGTGTGATTTACTCCTTCATTTGAAAGAGCAAAAGATCCGCTCCAGGTGAGTGCCGAATCTGCATAACCCCTCCATAGACACGCAGGTGCTGGCCCTATCCGTGATCACAGATGCAATGGAAAAACAGAATGGTTGGCTGCACAAACAGCAATGTAGTAGATGAAATCCTTTATTGGAATCCTTTACATGCAATATGATAAGAACATGACAGCTCCAAGACAGGATAGAGGAGCAGTAGATGAGTTTCACACAAAAACGTGCTTTGTCATTACGTGTTCGTGTGAAACGTGTCTACTGCTCCTCTGTCCTGTCTTGGAGCTGTCATGTTCTTATCATATTGCATGTAAAGGATTCCAATAAAGGATTTCATCCACCACATTGCTGTTTTTACTCCTTCATTTATTGTGTGTATTCTACTGTTATTTGCTTTTTTTTTGTCTTACAGAAATAGAAGAAAAAATGAAGAAAAAAAATATAAAAGTTGAAAGCCTAAAACAACAATGAACAAATATTACTATTTTTCTTGTTTTTTTTGCCATCATTCACAAATAGTGGCATTATTGCAGTAAATATACAATTTTATAAATGTTCTATATAACCCATAACCCAGCCCTGGCAAGAAAACCTCAAAACAGGATTCAAGGATGAAATTGGATACTTTCTATAAATGTTAAAAAATTTACATTATCGCAATGTATAACAGATTATTAGACATTTCCATAATTTTAGTTGTGAATTTTTATCTTATTCTCTGATCCCAAGCATCATTGTGGTTCTTTAGCAGTAAAGAATCTGTTCAGTTTCATTTTTGACTAAAGTAACATCCAGAATTACAACTGTAGTACAACGTACATGACCTGGGGGACTGTCAGAACGGCGGTATCTGAAAGGCTTCACACCCAAGTAAACATGAGATGAGAAGCTCTCCGTAAAACAAAAACTATATGCACCCATACAGTCCTTCCCTTACATAGTCCCAGAAGACCACCTAGACAGCCCATAAAGGTGCACTAAGATAGTCTAGTTAGGTAATAACCTCTTTAGCTTGGCAGAAAAATAAAATTGTCCTGCATAGGAAAATTCTGAATAAGCATACAAGCCCCAAACCCACTTACTGTATAGCATGTGTAATCACCACATATTATCACTAATCTGAATTTTAATGAAAGCCTTTAAGCTCTTTATATGTATACAGGATTCGATGTGTAAATGAAATAGGTTTGTTTGATTTTCTGTACTTCCCGAGGCTCTGAGCAAAAAGTAAAATTTTGTGTAGTGTATTCCATACCTGGGTCTCTGTGAGGCACAGACTGTTTGCAAGCTGTTTCCTTTCTGTCCCAACTACGTAATGGTTCTTTTCAAACGCTCCTTCAAGGCGTAAAAGTTGCGAGGGAGAGAAAGCAGTTCGTATTCTTTTAGGTTTCCTTGAAAAAGGTCCCTGAAGCAAAAATAGTTCTCTGGAGTATTCTCCTCACCTTTGGAAATAGAAAATATATTTATAGGTATAGTTATATAAATATATAACAATAAAATTTAAATATTGTACACTGTTAAAAGATCTGAAATTTACTGGCCACAAAATCAGTGTTTGTAGCAAGCATCCAAGTTCGTTAAGAGGAAACTTAAAGTATATCTAAAGCCAAAAATATCCAATTCTGTCTGTGACCCTGCTGTGCGGATTGTCCCTCTCTATTTGTCTAGGTGACCACTGTCTCCATACAGAAACTGATGAGAAGTAAAGCATTTTACAGTAGTCCCTGGAACAGAAATAGAAGGGACATCCTCCATGGGGATGCATGTTCCAGTCACAACTGGCCATTTGTCCTCATTTTGGAGAGATGTCCTATTACTTCTTGATGTGTCTCCGAGATAGGTTAACCTCCCCCTCCCTCCAAAAAAAATATATACCCTTTAAATTCCTTTAACTAATGACAATAAACCAGTAGTTCTGATGTGATGAAAACCCAGTAAGTCAAATAACATTAGCTAAATATAAAAATAAATGGTCACTATGGTCAATAATTTTATATGCCACAGTATCAACCTAGAATAAATAAACTTTTTGGCACCTTGGCACGACAAAGAGAAAGAAAAGCAGAATTTTCTTTTAATTCATCCGCACATGTATTGGGGCCTTGAAGAAGGGGCTTTCTAAAGTGCACAACTGAAACCAATTCCCAATGTGTATTGACATTTATATGGTGTGTATTGTGATACATATCATATAAATGGCATCATCATCACCAAGACACACATATGCAAAGTAAAAAAAATTAGTTACGCAAAGAAGCCCACTAGTAAAAAGTTTTTATTAAATCCACATGAATGGTGAGGTTATAAAATACTTGGCTTCTAGTTTTAAAAAATTGCAACTTAGCAATGCTGAAATGTACAATAAATAATGTAAAATTACACAGAAAATAGCAAAGATGGTGTACAATAGAGTTTTATGTCCATTGCTCAGAAAATGCAAAAATATAAAAACAAGAGAAATGTTTGGCTGTCAAGAAAACACCTACTTATAGTATTCTAGACCCCAACTAGTCCAAGGGTAAGCAATGGTGGGAATCTGTCAGCCTCTTGTATCTCTTACTGTAATGGTGAGATTCTCGTGTACTAGTTTGTGTCTCTGTCCTTCCCAGAATGTCATATTGAAAGTTGCTTTATTTTTTTGTAGACTACTAAATTATTTCCATCCACTAAAAACCCAACATATATAAAAAGCCAGAATGTGATTCGACTTGCAAGCAACCACACAAAATACAAATATAAGTTTTGACTGGAACTTAAGCCATATAAAAATACCACCCCCTGCTTATACAGTACTCAATAATATTCACCTTGCTCCACGGTACCAGCATCCCAGTCTCCCTTCTCGGAATGGGGGCGGGTAAATTTAACAGCAACTACGTCTCATCCTTATATCATGGCTACTGTACCTGCACGGATTACTGTAATCAGTGCAGGAGTAATGACCTTGCCAAAAGGAGCATCTATGGTAGACCCACTTCAGGAAACTGTTCGTCATAACTGGAACCAGCAAGGAGAGAGACCATGGGGAAGGGGTTGGAAGACAATTTTGTTTTTTTTCTAATTTTTTT